CCCCCCCCACGCCCACTCTCTCTTTATAATCCGTTCTCTTTGTGTGCGCGCGCGCATGTGTGTGTGTGTGTGTTTGTGTGTGTGTGTGTGTGTGTGTGTGTGTGTGTGTGTGTGTGTGTCAATGTGTGAAAGCAAAAGCATGCGAGTGTGTGTCTGTGTGTTTCTCCACACTCTTACACTTTCTCTCACCTCACCTTATCTCTCTCTATCTCTCTCTCCACAGAGTCGTTCGACATCCTGTCCAGGAAACAAAACAGGCCAGGGACTACCTGATGAGTCTCTCTCTCTCTCTCTCTCTCTCTCTCTCTCTCTCTCTCTCTCTCTCTCTCTCTCTCTCTCTCTCTCACTCACTCTCTCTCATCCCTTCTCTCTCTCTCATCCCTTCTCTCTCTCTCATCCCTTCTCTCTCTCTCATCCCTTCTCTCTCTCTCTTTCTCTCTCCACAGAGTCGCGACATCCTCTCCAGGACGAAACAGGCCAGAGACTACTTGAGGATCGACAACCAGAAGCTCCGACAGAACTGTGGCCTCCTGGGCAACGAGCCGCTCTTGAGGGACTTCGAGGAACGGAAGGACGAAGGGGATGATCTCAAGACCAAGTTGGAGCAGCTCAAAATGAAACACGCCGAGCTCACCCTCCACTGCAATCAGGTCAGGAGGAAGATCGACCAGGCGCGGCAGACGATGTCTTGATATATATGTGTTCGTTTTTGTTTTTGTTTTTTGTTTTGTTTTTTAATGTTTTTTTGTTTTGTTTTGTCTTTGTTTTTGTTGTCTCAATTTGTTTTGGTTTTTGTATTGTTTTCGTCTCGTGTCTTGATGTGTGTTCGTCTTTTGGTGTTTTTTTTAATGGCTTTTTTATTGTTTTGTTTTCACAATTTGTTCTTATTTATGTATTGTTTTCGTCTCCTGTCTTTTAAAGTATCTACGTGTATTATGTATTAGTAATCTTTTAATAAAAGTGACATACAGGTCAAGCTGCTTTGTTAGATACACATGTTTCTATTATTATATTTTTCTTCTTTTTTTTTCGCTACATAATATTACGTTGGGAGAATGTTTGACCCTTATATGACTCTGAATGTTGGAGCGAAAGAGCTGGTACGTATTAGGTGTCTTGCACCCAAGGCGTCACGTTTCATGTTGTCCTTGACTTGTTTGTCAGCTTAAAAATAAAAGTTATCGTGTTGAAAAGCAAACTCCCTTCCTTTTTTTCACGCATTAGCACAGACACTAACTGACACAAACTGATACACACGCACACGCACGCATGCACGCACGCACGCACGCACGCACGCACGCACGCTTTCTCTCTATCTCTCTCTCTCTCTCTCTCTCTCTCTCACACACACACACACACACACACACACACACACACACTCACATACAAACACTCCACACTCACACGCACACACTCACACGCACACACACACACATACACACACAAACACATACTCCACACTCACAGGCATAAACACACACACACTCACACACACATACACGCACACACTCACACACACACACATACACGCACACACACACACTGTGACACTACCGTCTGTGGTGTAGCGGTGAGGCGTTTTGCTGATGTAAGCACAATACTCCAGTCCGATTCTCGAGTGGGAAGAAATTTTTATTGAGTGTCTCGGTCTATCGGCTGGCAGGTTGTACTGTACCCTAGGCGATCATAAATCAGGCAGCGCAGCCCAAGAATTACACACCTTGCTTGTGGGCTGACACACCGGCCGCTCAGGCTTCGGCCCACAGCAAGCAGTGACCTTCGTAATGATAATAATGATTACAACGGCCACGGCTAGGCGGTCTCTTTCTCCCCCTCTCTCTCTCTCTCTCTCTCTCTCTCTCTCTCTCTTTCTCTTTCTCTCTCTCTCTCTCTCTCTCTCTCTCTCTCTCTCTCTCTCTCTCTCTCT